CAGGCCCAGTCCCCTTTTAGGTGTGGATCTGGAATAGCCCCAAACCCCCTGTGGCACCAGAGGGGAACATTCAGGGCCAGCTTTGAGCAGTGCCAATCTTGAAAAGCCATGGCAGTGGGGACAGGGATGTGCCCAGCACTGGTGACAGCCCCACNCCTCCCGGTTGAAGCGGAGGTAGAGCGAGTACTTGGTGGGGTCGGGGTTCTCCAGGGTCCAGGAGCAGCCCGAGGAGATGGTGGGGAACAGGTCCTTGAGGGAGAAGGAGCCGTAGAGGACGCCGGAGGCCAGGGCGGAGCAGGCGCTGGGAGCCGGGTCGAAGCCCCGCGTGAGCCACAGGACAGACGAAATCACAGCCAGTAAGAGGGGACCAGCAGCGGTCATCCTATGGCATTTGCCCTGCGGACAGACAGATGGACACACAGACAGGGGCTTACCAAGAGGTTTGGGCGCTGGGGAGCTGGGCTGGGGGTCAGCACCCTGCCCTGAGCCTGGGGACAAGTGGGGACATGAACCGGGAGGTGACATGGAGTAACTGGGATGCTGTGTGCGAGCAGCATCCCATGTCCCCTCTTGCTCCCTGTCCCCACATGGTCCCTGTCCCCATCTGCCACCTTGCAGCGTTACAGGGGACTCCTTGCAGTGCCAATGAGTGCCCAGGTTGGGGACAGTGCAGCACACAGTGAGTAATTCACCCCAAAACCACCACAGCAGCATCCCAACCCCGCAGGTCCCCACTGCAATGATCCCCCCACCCATGGCTCACCCCTGGCCAAGCACAGCCTGGGCATGAAGCCACCAACTTCAGACAGAGCTAGAAAAACCCTTGGAGCTCATCCTGGAGCATGGTGGGGACAGGCTGGCAGCTCGGGGTGACATTCTGGGGGTTCACAGTGACGCCCCAGTAGCGTGGTGTCCCCATAGCTATCCTAAGAACCAAGCACTGGGTGAGCAGTCACTGCTCAGCACAGATTTCTTGGATGCCTCTCTGGGAATGCATAGCATGGCCATGAACAGCTTTTTAATACCTCATTAATAAAATAATGCACGCCGTGGCCTTATTAAGCGAGCCCGGAGCGCGGCTCTACAGAGGCCGAGGCCGCCGCGCACGTGGCAGCATCACTCAGCCCGTGCCCGGGGCAAAGGGACAGCCCTGGGGACACCAGGGGACATCCAGGAGGTGGCCACAGGGCCAGATGCCATGGCTGAGGTTGATTCCAAAATCGCTGAGGTCTCCGCCCAGCCGTGTGCTGGGGATGCCGAGCGTTGGCACAGCATAGGGGATGCTCATCCTCGCCCTCAAACTGCAAATCCTGCTCCAAAACTGCTCTCAAACAGCAAATCCTGCTCCAGAACCACCCTCAAACTGCAAATCCTGCTCCCCAAACATCCTCAAACTGCAAATCCTGCTCCCTAAACACCCTCAAACACCAAATCCTGCTCCCTCAAACAGCAAACCCTGCTCCAAAACTGCCCTCAAACACCAAATCCTGCTCCTGAGCCACCCTCAAACACCAAATTCTGCTCCAAAACACCCTTCAACACCAAATCTGGCTCTCAAACTGCCCTCAAACACCAAACCCTGCTCCCTAAACACCCTCAAACACCAAATCCTGCTCCCTCAAACAGCAAACCCTGCTCCAAAACTGCCCTCAAACACCAGATCCTGCTCCGGAGCCACCCTCAAACACCCAAATTCTGCTCCAAAACACCCTTCAACACCAAATCTTGCTCTCAAACTGCCCTCAAACACCAAACCCTCCTCCCTAAACATCCTCAAACACCAAATCCTGCTCCTCAAACACCCTGAAACAGCACATGCTGCTCCCAAACACCAAATCCTGCTCCGAAACCACACTTAAACAGCAAATCCTGCTCCAAAACCACCCTCAAACAGCAAATCCTGCTCCCAAATCGCCCTCAAACACCAAATCCTGCTCCCAAATCGCCCTCAAACACCAAATCCTGTTCCGGAGCCACCCCTGCCCGAGGTGCTGGTACTGGGGCATCCCCGGCTCATCGGGAGGGACACTTGGCCGAGCCTGCAGCTGGAGCCACTCCGGGGACATTAAAGAGCTAAAAATATCCCGGTTCTCATGCAACAGGCTGGCGCTGGCTCCGGCAGCACGGAGGGGAGGGCTCGGTGCTGGCGTTCCCCCCTCCAGGGCACGGGGAGAGGGGCTGGGATGGAGCAGAGCCGGCTGGATCTCCCCGATGCAAGCAGGGCTGAAAGAAATCTCCATTTTCCCGGATTAAAACCCTCCGGTTCTTCTGATCTCCAGCCAGAGAAATGCAACAGGAGAGATCCAAAAGCACCGAATTCCAAGTGCAGCCGGAGCGGGGCATCCCCCAACGGTGCTGCTGGAGAACCTGGGGTCCCCCCCGAGAGTCGCAGCCCCCTCGGAGAGCCGCGAGAGGAGGAGGAGGAGGAGGAGGGAGAGGAGGAGGAGGGAGAGGAGGAGGAGGTCAGGCAGGGACACGCTGCCGCTCTGCAGCGAGCTCCCGGGGCTCCCGCAGCCTGGCAGGGACACAAGATGGTGCTTGCTTCCCTCGCCCAGCAGCNTTCCCACAATCCCGGAACGAGCAAATGGCCTCATTCCGCCTGGTTAACAGCCCGGCCGTGACATCCTGCCTGGAATAACAAGCGCCCGGGCTGCGGCAGTCAAGGGTAATTTGCCACGGCAAAGGGTCATTTTACCTGCAAATTGTTTTCCGCGTCTCCAGCGGGGCAGAGCGAGTTGGCTCCTGCTCCTGCCCCGTGCCAGGGAGGCGGTGAGTGATGCCAGGGAGCCATGAGGGATGTGCCAGAGCAGCCCTGGCATCAGCCCTGGCATGGTGGGGTCACTGTGGTGTTCCCAGGGATGGCTGGGCCGTGGCAAGGGCAGAGCAAGATGCAGCTCCATGGATTTGGACTCATATGGATTCCCTGCTCCATGCAGGGATTCCCTGCTCCATGCTCAGTGTCCCGCTGGAAACTTCCAGCCCTAAGGGAGCACGTTCAGGCAGGATTCATCCATCCTATGGATTCTCCATGCACAGCTCCCTCCTGCCCTGAGGAGTGTGCTCAGGCAGGATTCATCCATCCCATGGATTCCCTGTTCCATGTCCAGGGCTCAGTTGGCACCATCCTGCCCTGGGAGTGGGCTTGGAGAAGATTCATCCATTCCATGGATTCCCTGCTCCATGCACAGCTCTCTCCTGCCCTGGGGAGTGTGCTCAGGCAGGATTCATCCATTCCATGGATTCCCTGCTCCATGCCCAGTGCCCAGTTGGCACCATGCTGCGTTGGGAGTGTTCTCAGGCAGGATTCATCCTGTGGATTCCTTGCTCCATGTACAAAACCCTCCTGCCCTGGGGAGTGTGCTCAGGCAGGATTCATCCATCCTGTGGATTCCCTGCTCCATGCACAGTGCCCAGTTGGCACCATCCTGCCCTGGGAGTGTGCTCAGGCAAGATTCATCCACCCCATGGATTCCCTGCTCCATGCCCAGTGCCCCACTGGCACCTCCAGCCCCAGGATCCATCCATTGCACCATACCCAGTTCCCAAATGGCATCCTTCAGCCCCATTGCATCATTCCTTGCCCCATTCCCAGTCCCCATCTTGCACATTCCAGCCCCACAGATCTCACACAAGCACGACCCACCCCCTGCCCCATTCCCACCCTCCCCATTCCCCGTGTACCCCACACAGGCAGAACCCACCCATTCCACCAGCACTGGCATCACCCAGAGACCCCCACCACTGCACAGGGTGCCCATCCGCGCTCCCCACTCACCGTGNATCCCAATTCTCAATCCCATCATGGATTGCCCCTTCTCCATCGCGGATCCCAGTTCCTAATCTCCACAATGGATCCCAATTCCCAATCTCATCCTGGACCCCCCTTCTCCATCCCATCCTGCATCCCAATTTCCAATCCCATCCTGGATCCCATCATCCTGGATCCTAATTCTGAATCCCATCCTGAATCCCAGCTCTTAATCCCATCCTGCATCCCAATTCTCCATCTCATCCTGGATCCCCCTTCTCCATTGTGGATTCCAACTCCCAATCCCATCCTGGATCCCACCATCTGGGATCCTAATTCTCAATCCCATTGTGGATCCCAATTCTCAATCCCATCATGGATTCCCCCTTCTCCATCGTGGATCCCAATTCCCAATCTCCATGATCGATCCCAATTCTCCATCCCATCCTGGATCTCCCTTCTCCATAGTGGATCCCAATTCCCAATTCCATCGTGGATCTGCCTTCTCCATTGTGGATCCCAATTCCCAATCCCATCGTGGATCTGCCTTCTCCACTGGGGATCCCAATTCTCCTACCCGTCCTGGATCCCCGTTCTCCATCCTGGATCCCAATTCCCAATCCCATCCTGGATCTCCTTCTCCATCCAACCTTGGATCTCCCTCCTCCACAGGCAGCCCCAGCCACCACAGGTGTCACCCCTCGGGCACAGGGTCAGCCAGGCTGACCTTGGGGCTGGCACCTGACCCCAGCCCTGAGCTCTTAATCACCCACGGGGAGTGGCTTTTATTGGGGGGAAAATAAACCAAAACATGAAAAAAACTCATAAAATGCAATCAGCTCAAGCAGCTCCCCTCGGGATGAGGCGATTTAGAGCCCTGCAGCTGTAAGGGACCGGGGATTTACCGGGGGATCTGCCCATAATGACATTTAGCTCCTGAAATAAATGCTAAAGCCCAATGAAATTATCTCTACACCCACCCTCAGCCCGGCCCCGCCACCTAATCTGCCGGATAAAAACCCCACACAGCCTTGTCGGGGATTTCTCCTGCCCACACATCACCCTGAGGCTGCTGAAGGGAAAACATCTGGCCAGATGTGTCCCAAAATCCCCTCGTCACCTCGCTGGGCTTGGCACCACAGGCACGGGCAGCATCCCAGTGTCGCAGACATCTTTTATGAAAAATCTTGGTTTTTTAGGATTTTTCCTCCTGAGAAGCTGAGAGGCCTCAGGAACAAAATGTAAACATCGATTATCTGCTGCTGTGGAATGCAACAGGTGGATCTGTGATCGGCCCGTTGATAGTAAAAGGTTTTAAAATCATAAAATCCGGGGAATTAGAAAGAAGCTAGACTTGGTGGGGCCCTGGAAAAATGTTAAAAACAGACTCTGAAAATGCCAGGCTTTGTGTTTGCCAGATAGTGTGAAATTGCACCTGCGTAAGCAGTATATGATAAATGATATAATTGTTAGATGTGATTATTGTTTAATAATTAAATAAAATTATTGTTTAATGGTAAGAAGAATCATGAGAAACTCTGTTAGAAGTTTGAGGGGGACCACGAGGAGCTCATGCTTGGATGAAATCTATGTATACAACAGAACAATATAAGTTTAATAATTAACATGAAAGTTATATAATGATAGAATATAAAATGTCGAGGTCAGATTTGGGTTTGTACC